TGGGCTGCCCGTGCGAAGATGCGTTTTTTGAATAGTTCCCCGCAGTTTTTGTCGCTACCGGCATCGGTTTTTTGGCAAATCCTTCTACCTAAATAAATTAAGACTGGCCGCCAAAACTGGCAGGAAACACCCCCTCAAAATTTCAGCTTTCTAGCATCTTAGATCCTCAAGTTATGAATTTACGAGGGAAAATTTTGGCAGGCCCGTACGCGGGTACCACGCTTACCCGGGGGTTGGGTTTGAGCTCATTAGTACCCGCTTGGACGGGGAACATTCCCTTAAAATTTCAGCTTTCTAGCTTTCCTGGTTCGCGAGTTATCAGCTTACCCTAAAAAAATTTTGGCGGGCTTTTACGCAGGTACCACACGGGTAAGACCGCCGATTTTGCAGATAGGGGCCCGTACGTGCATGTAGATTATGTCCCCAAAGTTTCAGCTCTGTAGCTTTTGCCGGTCTCTAGATGAAAAATCGGTACAGACGAACACACAGACACACCGACATACAGACGCACAGACACACAGACACACACACAGACAACCTCTCGTCAATATGCGTTTTCTGCATTGCATAGCTGCAAACTTGTGCAAACTTGTTATTACTTTCATTGGGATGCTGGTCACGGTTGTTGATGCAAGATCGTAAATTGACAGGATAATACGATGCAAAATGGGCCGTAATGATGCACCAGCTTCAGCGCATACAACACTATAGAAAACTTGATCGTTCAGCTAAAAAAAGCCATAAATTCTGACTTAAAAATCGAATACGGCTTATTGCAGGATACCTTAAAATATAAGAAAATGTGCAAGAAAAGCTGAAAAAACCAAAAATGCAAATACTTTTTTTATAAAATTTATAAATATGTTTTTAAAAGTGAACCTTGGTAAGTGGTTTAGGTGTTGGAAGAGGAAAATTGCCTTCCACAACTGGATATATGATAAAGAAGAAAACGTGTACCAGTGCAATTGAGGCAAAACTGAAATTATCAATAATTTAAAAATTATCATGATTTTCCCTTTAAAACTATAAATTGCTTTTTATTTTTCATTTATAACTTAATCAAAAATAGGTCAAATTCAGCTGTTTGTTCAGCTGAGTCGCTGGCTATCTAAACTCGATCATCCGCATGATTAACTCAATCATGTACCACACATTTCAAATGACCAATTCCGCCTGTACAAATAAATTATAATCAGTCAAAGCTCTGTTAAATTTGCCATCAGCTTGCTTCTAAGCAATCCTCGAATGATGGGATTATCAGGAGCCTAAGGCTAGTGGGTAACTGCTTTTGATAATTGTTATCCTTGGGATGCTTCTGAAGAATGTATACGACTTAAAGGACCAAAACATTGTTGTTTAATGTAATTATTTTAATTTTTTTACATCATTTACTCCCCCCCCCCCTACTTAATTTGAATATGGAGAGATATTTAG